GGTAGCTTCATAAAGTAGTTGCGTCGAGCAGGGGGGTTCAACTCCGCTTCTGCATCCGTCTAGCCATGGGAAGATTTTGGAGGGTCAAAAGTGCACACTGCTTCCACTTTTCATGTATTAGCCTATGAAGACGACAAAGTTTTAGTGCACCAGCGAAATGGGGATTTTGGACTGCGCGTAGCGCGCAAAATATTTAAATTAAAATTTGGAATATTCATGAGCTCTTTTCCACTTATTAGCATATTAACGCAATGAAAAAAAGACAATGCGCATGCGTTACTATATCGACATAATCCTTAATTGGGCCGGATAATGTAGAACAAAGTTCATGCAGAGTTGTGGAGGTGTGTGTGTTGGGGGGAGGGGGGGGGGGGGGGGGGGGTGGGTAATAAACTTTTAAATGGTTGACTTAGTTGGGGCAACAAACTTCACTGTCACCAGGATGGAAAGTACATTTTTAAAAATTCAGTTCAGTTAAAAGGCAAAATAATGACCCTATTTCACTGTGGTACCTCAACACATTTTTTGCCTCTTTTTTTTGTTTGTTTATTAACTTAAATATTTTTTAAATCAGAAAAACTGCACTGATCATTTAGCCGACTTAACAAGTGATATATTCATATTTTTAGTGTCCAAATAATGAATCATTCTCACCTCGACTTCAATGTTTTTCATATTGTGCCCCATCCCCAATGAAATTTAAATTTTTGCATTCGTCGCCACTGATTTTTTTTAAATTTGCCCCCCCCCCCCCCCCCCCCCCCCAACAGTAACATTTTCAATACAGGGACCCTTTCCAATATTGACATTTCCATAGTCTCTATTAACCTCCCTCCCCCATCCACACCCCAATTACCTATGCTTTCATCATTTTGGCATTGACTTATTCTTTATTTAAGCTCCCCCCCCCCCCCTCATCTTATTGTAAACCATTTTTTATACTGTATTTATACATAAGTCTTGCCCACTCTCGTTACATTTCCGCTTTCTCTCATTAGGAAAAATGGTTAAATCTATCTCGCTGATACCAGATATAAACAAACATCAAAAGGTCGAACACCATACTCAATTCTACACAAGACTGCATCAGACCCCATCTCACCTCAGTCATACAGCATTATCATTACAGAGTGCCTACATCATCATAATCACCAGCATCATCACATATATTTCACAAAATAAGAAAATGAAAAGAACAGAATTAAGCATTATCAACTAATTTATTAACATTTATGAACTCATTTTTGAACATATTTTGTTTCTATAAAGATCTTTTTAAATCCAACATGACATCAACAAAAGGATGGCAAATGGATTGGGGGGGGGGGGGGCTGTCTCTTGAATTCAAATTTTTCAGTTGTAAAAGTTTATTGTAGATTTTGAAAAAAATATTCAATAATATCAACATGCTATTTTATTATGTAAAGAAAAGGTATATACTGACTTTTATGAGTACTTTATCTTACATTGGACATTATTGTTGTTGTTTTTACTACTACCTGTATTATCATTATTATTACTACTATTATCATGATCATTGTCATTATTGTTACTATTAGTTGGAATATTTTTGTTTTACCCCAAGTTATGGAATTATTTTATAAATAATTTTAAAATAAGATCGGAGAATGTATACTATTATCTAGATCTATTATTTTTAAAATAATTCCATAAATTGGGGTAAAACAAAAATATTCCAACTTTATGAGCGCCAGTGTATAATTATATTACTACAGTATTACTATCGAACTACATCATTTTATACCCCACCCTTCAATTTACTATCCAGTTCAGCATCCCTAATATTTTTGTCAGAACTTGACTTAAGATTAAATATCAAAAAACTATATTACATGTACACGCATTTAAAAGAAGATATGATTACTTTCATGATCCTCGATATATCTTCTTCTTATTCTTCTGGTAATCTTCAAAAGGCGTTGTAGCCTATCACGAAGATGAACTAATACTAAAGATTACAAGTGGTGTGAGGAAGACAGACTGTTTTTAAGTGGGATAAGGAGAGTAGATGCCTCAGAAGTAGTCCCTGGCAGCTGGACTGTCAGCATGCACTATATTTGCTGGAAGTCAGTTCCATTAACTTTGGGACAGAGTGTTGGGCAAATACAAACTTGTCTATGTCGCTTCTGGCTTGGTGCAACTGGAGGGTCATGTCATGGTACTTCCTGCTCGTGATTTGTTAAAGCCCGTCTGTACTAGTTTGGCCAGCGGGATTAGACCACCCTGCAAGGTCACTGACAGGTGGTTATCTCATCAAATCAGCTCTCAATTAATATAAGAAAAAGGGGATCATGGGGGACCAGTAGGCACCGATTAGGCATTGTTTGCTATATAGAGGGCGCAAGTAGCTATAAGTAGTGCAGTGGGGAAATTTTCAAGGGAGAGCGGAGAGACCATTGACTATCTTGTGCACCATTCCCAGTCTTCTTGCAGAGTGCCTTGTAGTTGTAGATATAGTAGGCAATTAAAAGGTGCTGATCATCTCAGTCAAACTGCTGGTTCTCTTGTGGTCCCCATTGTGAAGTAGCGTCCTGGACATCTGAGATGTTGTAGGGATCCCAGACACCGGAACAGTTCTCAAGATGAGGATAGACAAGGGACTTGTACAAAAGAAGCCTGGGAATCAAACCTTCTGCATGGGACAACCTGCATAATAAAAAACAAAAAGAGAGGAGAAATCAAATAAGATTAAAACTGCTGCATTATATTGGATTTTCAAAAATAGTACCTCCCCACTTTTTTTAGGTCTTGTATTTTAATTTTATTAAAAAATGATAAACTTATGTCTATCTGATAGGACCTTTTTTGAAGAGAAGAGTAAAGGTTAAAATGTATTTCCAATTATTTTAAAAGTAATTTCCAATTCATTTTAAGTTATTATTTGCTAGACTTTTGTGAACAAAAGTTTGTTAGATATAATGTAATATTTAGGAAAAGTACCTTTGAGTACATCTTTTAATATGCTGAGAGAATAAACTGTAGCAACACCATAGTTTGTCACCTAAATAAAAAGCTAGAGAATAAATGAGAATTACAAGATATAATGCAACATTATAATTAAGATGGTAATTGGTGGTTAGTCCAAGATGAGTGCGATGTTGGCATGGGCTTAGCCTTAGATTATACAGCCTGAATATTTTCGAACTTTATACAAACATACCTTGCCAGAGTTCAACTTAGGTGTCCTGTTCCTGAGATCTACACCATAACATATGATGATCAGGTACTGGTAGTCTCTGTTGCACATCTGTGGTCATTATCTGCTTTTTGGTTGCATAGGATCTACAATTAAAAGAAAACAGAAACTTAGTAAGGTTCGTGCAAGTAATAGTATCAAATGCTTGCATTAGTTATCAGTTTATAACTTGGTTCATGTCCTTTAGACTAGAATTAGAAATACCCATGCAATACCAAATAAAAAGGGGGGTAGCAAATAGTCCTGAAACTTTACTGTAAACAAGGTAAATATTCGGACATTAGTAATATGTAAATAATATAAACCTATTTTCTCTCTAAACATGTCATTTTCCTCTAAATATTTCAAACAAGGCACAGTGCCATAACTTAGAAGTTAGAGCACAATGAAGAAAAAAGAGGAGTGGGGGTGGGGGTAGGGGTGAGGGGGTGGGGTGGGGGTAAAATTATGAAGCTAGGAAGGGACACCCTTTTTGTTTTGTTGTTGTTGTTGTTGATATAGTCTATCTAGCCTACATCCTAACTAAGCTGGACCTGGATACATAATGCCACACTAGCAACAGCATGACTAGATCTAGACTAGGCCTAGACCCTAGGCCTAGCCTAGGGCTAGGCCAGGGCCTATGCCTTGCCCTTAGCCCGAATTTTCTGTCTCTTTCGTTCGTTAGCCTCTGACTTGGGTAGGATTGGCTAAAGAGAGGAGCCGACTCTACCCAAATCAGAGGCTAACGAACGAAAGAGACAGAAAATTCAGGCTAGACTCTATGCTATGAATACTAGCCTAAAGTGTAGCCTGTTATAGCCGCGCCAGCTCAGGAAACGCAGTCGCTTATTGGTGGAGTGTTACAACCGGCTAGCACCGGCGAATTGAAAATCATAAACCGCTCCACGAAATCTCATCGGCTTGGACTAGCAATGAGCCATTTGCGCAGTCTACAACAGGTCTACATCTACTACCGATTACTATCGGTAATCAAGCTATGAACTGAACTTAAAATTACGAGATGTGCTGTGATGAAATAACCTACGGTAAACTCCTGATTATTTCTAAAAATATTACCGTCGACGACTTAAATTAGAGTTCATTCAATCAGTAATATTCTTTGGTCAGAACAAAGAAAAAAGGATGGGGTAGGGGGTTAACCGGGTAATACGTTGTGACAATGCGGAGAGCCCCTCACTGCAATGACGAACACATCACAATCATTTCAGATATCTTCACACAAAATTTATCTTTACTTACTTTTTTGGTATCCGTATGGTATCACTTTGATGTCGATGTTCGCCTGAAGATTTTCTGCTCAACTGAGATGTATTTGACAAACTTCTATTATAATAGAAATTCACTTACAAGAAAAATGTTTCATTGTTCGTAATTGAAAAACTTCAAAGTCGCAGTTCATACAACCGCCATTTTTCATCATTTTCTTGCTCAAATCGTAGGGAATTATGGGAATGCAAAAAATGTTTTATGCATGACCTAATACATAAAACATTTTGTCGATGGCCAATCAACAAACAGTAGTTGGCGTATTTTTTACGTCATTGCTCATGAATATTCATTGACCCTCCAAAACCGTCGTTCAAATCGGACAAAACCCCCATAATGCATCCAATGCAAAACCTATGAAATGTCAAAGGTCACGATTTTAGTTGGCCCTCTAGTCCTCCTACGGAGGACATACTGTGTATGATCGAATCTCTTTGGCGTCGAGTATTTATAGCGCCATCTATTGCTATGTCCTTGAAATGTTGTCGATCTACATAATTTTTCTCTCAAAAGCGAAGTCGAGTCGTCAAGTCAAAAACACCTTGGCTGAAAGCTATGAGAGGGAGAACTGTGGTAAGCTAAGCCTATTTATCTGCTCATCTTTTCAATTGATTATTATGAAATGGAATATTTTAGTCTTTTTTTCTCATCATATAAGATTGTGGGTGTGTTCGAAAAAGTCGTGGAAATATATGTGTAAGTCCCGTGAGTTTGACTTCTCGCTCTGTCTCAGACTTCACCGAAGCCGATGCCTATGGCACTAGCAGCTGTGCAATCAAACAAGTGGTCTGCATCTACTATGGTCTAGCGCTCAGCTAGACCGAATTTTTCTGTCTCTTTCGTTCGTTAGCCTCTGATTTGGGTAAGGTCGGCTCTCTCTTTAGAGACAGAACAGCCCTATACGCTGTAGTGGACGCGCGTTTGTGTAAACATGGTAAAGAAACGTTACACAAAACTTGGCCAAACTTAATCCCTAATTTTGATATTTTACCGAATGCGTATCCGATGCATTTAAGTCCTAAATTAGTTTAAATGCTTAACTACTTCGGTTTCACTTACCAACTTGACTACTTGAATCCATCTAATGGTCCCTTTTCAGGAAATTATGGGTCAAGATTGACATCCATGAAGAAAATCTTGCAGCCGGGTCTCGTTCCTTCTAGTCTACGCCGAAGGCAAAATGATTATAACGGAAAAACAGTGCATGTCATTACGAACTCGTAGCTCGTGCACAGTCTTTCCGTTATAATCAATTTTACATTGTAAAACAAAAGCGTGGACGGCATTATCCTGAAATAGAAAACCAAACCACTATTCACTCTGCCCGGCCCAGCACGTAGAACTTGAGCTTACAGCTAGCCGATTCTAGTGCATGCGCATTACGTCGATCCAGTCTCAGCCTCATTTAGCCAAATTGGCGCCTACAAGGGCCCTTCTGATTGGCTATCGCAAACCTTGTATTTGTTAAGATTTTTGTAGCATCCTTATTTCACTTTATAAGTTTAAGTTTTACATATTTTTTTTAAAGTTTGAAAAATTCTCATTTCTTTGTGCAGCACAAAGCAACAACCATTCTGTAAAAGGGTCTGAAAATCAGACTATTACTTAGGTGATTGCATTACATGTATATAATTTTCTCCAAAAAGAAAAAAAAAGCTAAAAGAAAAGGGATGGAAGAGAAAAACTGAACTTTTTCAGTGCCTGCATCACTATCATAGCTTGCAGTTTAAAAAACCTGGCACAAAACCTCATTTTTCAGACCTTCAGCTCATTTTGGGGATCCTGTTTCTTATCAGTGGGCGTAAGTGCTGACTTTCAGACTTTTTGGCAGCAGAATTCAACCTTTCATTTTTTGTGAGTTTAGTGTGAGCGCTCAGTTATTTTAGTTCAGAACAAATCCTTTCTAAAAGTTGGTCCTCTGTATTTTATTGTCATAACAACAAAGTGCTTCATTCTGGGACCTGTTTCACGAAGCCTTTTTTCAATGACAAATGACAAGTCTGCTGATAACCAATCAGAAGCAAGGATTTCAGTAGCTTATAACAAAAACTGTCATTTGTCACTGATGACAAGTTTTGTGAAACACCACCCTGGTTGTTCAAATCCAGACAAATGCTACAAAAGTCCTATGAGTGACTTTGGTTTTGTGTTGTTTTGTTTTGTTTTTGAGCATGGATGTTTCTTAAATGAGAGACATTATTTAAAAACTCATTAGAAGCTTCAATATACTGTACATGTATGCCTTAAAGACTTTCAAATTAAGAATTCAACACGGCCCTTCACATTGCATTGGCATGTTGTTTACAAAGTACAGATGGATTGAAAATCTTGTTCATTAAAAACAAAACAAACAAAAACAAAAAAACAATGCACTTCCTATACCTGTAGGTTACAATACAATATGCATCATGGTAGTTGGCCTGACATAGTAGATTGTCAATATACATGTACCATGTACAGTACATGTATACAAATAAAAAGGTTTGATTAGATTTGTATTGAAATGAAACCCAAAGTTGGGAAAGGTTATTTGTCAGGCCTTGTAATGACATCTTATCTTGATACGTGAACCTTGGTATACCCAATCAATGAGTGTTTGTCTGCATAGTTTATCATTCCTGTATTAATAGAGCAAGCATCTGTGTTGTGTACATGTAGGTGTGAAGAGAATTCATTATTGATTTATTTCTGCTCTATCCACCACTACCATGTAAAGTACATGTAATGCCCCATATGGATATATCATATAGTTGATCTTGAGGCTGAATCACTGAATACATGTACATGTATGTTTGGAAATATATTGGAATAGTTGTTTTGTCTACTAAGAATTAATCCTTTCGTCATCTCTCAAAAGTAAGTTTGTTTAAATTTGTTATGGAAATTACTATACATGTACATGTATGTGTGTCATCTACCATGACACGTTGTTAGAAATAATTTGATGTTTTGATTGAAATTTGGTCAGAATGTGAGCAGCACACCCGGATTTTACCTGTACTCTACATACTGTATGCACTGGAACTAAATTATTCCTACCCCTTCTTGTACTGTGTAAGACTGTAAGTTTATTATATGTTTTTTCCCCCTTTTTTTTCATTTAATTAAAAAATGAAAGGTGGATTTGTTAAATTAGGGCCTTTGTTGAATATAGGCTTTAATATGTCACATTCTCAAGAAACATGAATTGGGACAAATAAATTGTTCACAATTCCAACACTTTGTAACTAAAAGGTATGAATAAATGAGCTGTTAAGGAACCATTTCCTGTCTGTTTGGTGTTTTGTTTTACCTTGTTTAAATTAAAAAGAATGTTTTCCAGAGCATATTCTTAATTCCCCTTCTTCTTATTTCTATTATTATATTGTGAGGATTTATTAATATTATTACTGAATGATAATCATAATCATTATCATTGTAATTATTATCATCATTATCATAACTGTTATACTCATTATTTTGTATAATTATTACAATTATTATTATTTATTTATTTATTTTGAGTATCATAAATTATTATTATTTTTATTAATTCATTAATATTACATTTGGCACAGACAAAATCAGAAAATAGTGAAAACATAAACAAAAGTAAAGTTTGAAATGAGTCACGTGGATGCTTGGAAAGAAAACGATTATGTACTACATCTGTAGGTGTGCTTGTTCATGTAAATAGAAAACTCCAGCTTCTGTTGCCCCTCATAGACAGGCCTGATAATTACCCGATTTAAATCAGTTTCCAGATTATTTTTTTTTCTTCATGATTTTATTCCAATTTTCCAGATTTTTCTCTTATTTTCTCTATTCTTCCCTATTTTCCCTATTCTTCCCTATTTTCCCTATTTTTTCCCAATTTCCTTACTCAAAAGGGGGGAATGTTGTTAGATGCCATCCCCCCCACCCGAATCCTCTTCTTTTTTTCTTTCTTCTTTTTTTTTTACTCAAGGGGGGCATGGTTGAGGGGATGAATGGATGAATTTGGGTTGATTTGATCGATATACATGTTGTATGTAAAAGAATGTTTCAAAGGAAGTGTCTGAAGTTTGTGCTCCATTTCTGGCTGAAATACACTGAAATCGAATTTGTTGAATACTGTAGCCTTCATGTACTGTAATTGTATGTACATGTAGACCTACAAAAGGGAAACTTGAAGACATTGTTTATTGAAAATTGTTTTTTTTTTGTCTGCAGGGGATGCTCTTGAGTTTGCCCCCACAATACTGAGTGAGAAGGATTTATAGTGATGTCCCAAGAGGAACCTAGTGATCTGTCAGCGTTAGATTCTCTGTTCAGTAGATACGGACAAGGAGGAGCTCGTGGGCTGTCAGAACAACGCAAGAAACAGATCTATGCAGGCAAACAACAGGAGGTAATTCATCACTAATTCATTCTACATTCATTCACTGCAGTAATGCTGGAAATGAAGTCTTAGTCTTTTTATAGAGTAGTTGGCTATATATCTTTGTTAGAAACATAACAAAATAACAATTGATACTGTAACAACATGATTTTATCAATCATCATGTCTTCAAATAGCTATTGGTGACCCGACTCAAATAAAAAACAAAGGATAATAAAAAAGCAAAAAAAGCAAAATATCTTGACCTGTCTGTTTCATGTTCTCATTGTGTAAATATTAGGTACTAAGGCTGTGCACAACAGTGTAATGAGGTACCCGAGTACACTCCCAGGCTTACAAGCGAATACTCAAGTATTCGGACGCCATGTTTTTTAATAATTTTTTTGAATTTTTTTGAATTTTTTAAATTTAAATTTTTTTTTTATTTATTTATTTTTTAATTTTTTTTTTGCCACCACCATACCACTGGGGCAGTATCTCACGTCTCCGAAAACGCATGCAATTTTACTTTGAGTTGCAGTTGAAGCACCGATTTAACAGTAAACAATGCTGTTTTAAAAACCAAAGATGGCAGAATAATCCATTTTCCTCCAAGTCCAAACAGAAATCCAGACATTTGGTCCCAGTTTCTGAGTGGTGAGTTTGACAGTGCTTGAGTTGGGAAGCATTTTTACCGACGGCACCATGCCAGCGGCCGCCGCTCACCCAGGCACGGGTAAGCGTCGGCCTGGACAGATTTTTTTTTTTTTTTTTTGCGGCCGAATATTCGGGTACTAAAAATCGTACCCGAGTAGTTGTCAACCGTGCGGGTACTCGAGCATTCGACTACACATCGCAGCCCTATTAGGTACATGTCTAACAATTAGTTAACAGGTTTTATTATTATATAAGTATGTACAGTACATGTGTAACGGCCTTGCCCTAAAAATATTGAAATTTAAGGCCTGACATGTACAGGTATACAGGAAAGAAGTGAGTTATCTTGTATAGATCTTTGTTCATTTGTAGGTTGAATGAGCTGGCATTAGATTATGCTTGAGTCATAAGAGTAAACTCCAACAGATTGTTATCATCACAGGAAATACCTGCTGATTTCTCCACTGATATAAATTGATAAAAGTTGACATTTGTCTAAAGCGCTATAGATTATATGTACATTGGTTTGCATTGTTGATTAAGGTAGAGGAATGTGTTTTGTTGCAATATTATTTCAGTGTTGTTGAATGAATAACAGCTACACGTACACTGTATGTATGTAAATTGTACAGCAATAATAACTATTAAAATGATATACCTCTGTACATGGAGTTCATTACATGGGTTTGTAACTTTGTAGATAAAATATATTTCCATCAAATAGGCTTAATAACTTGAAGACTGGTAGTGATTAAAATATGAATACAAGAAAACAAAAAACCAAAGGAGATTCATCCATTAGTGTTTTACTTTTGTTGTTGTTGTTTAAATACATACACGGAATAAACTACATAACAACTGATACGTATTAGACCTTTACTGGGATACTAACCTTGTGACAGCAGTCTAATCTGTTGTTGTTTTTTGTGAGTGCCATAACAGTACAAAGGTATCAGGATACACAGGTATTCAGTGCTCAATGCTCTACCGTCTGTCTCTACGTGTATGTATGTTTAGGGCTAGATCCACCCCTTATTGATAAGAAGTTGAGGACAGATTAAATTGGAACAGTGAATTGTGGTCAATTGTAGTAATACTGACCAGGAAATCGCCTTCCTCATAACATGCTCTATTCGTTGTAAAGGTGTGTTAAAGAGTACTGTACAACATGATATACATGTAGACGGCAAGCATATTGGATACGTGTACTGGTAGTTGAAAATAGAGAGCCAGTACGGTGATATATAAGAAGTAATATATCCTAGAAATGCATTGTTGTAGAAGGGTTTTAAATAATCACTGCTGCATGTGAATTGAATGTTCAAAATACAAGTGTGTTTATTGTTTTCACCATTTTCATGACAGGATCAGCAGGAGTCTAGTAATCCTACCCACAAGACACTGCAAGCAATCCTTGATTACGAAGAGACTATCCCAGATCGAGAGGTGGTAAGTTGAGTAGGATCTATAATGAGTTTATTTCATGTGATGTGTTCATTGTGTTGTGATTGTGAGTGACCTGAGGAGCACTGGTATGGGAATCAACACTTGCCAATCATATTGCAAGGTCTGCGTTATCTAGACTACGGCTTCATATTGCTTGACCGGGAGCTCTAGAAACATGAATTTTCTTTCAAATTTACCTCTTTCATGTTAAAATTTTTGGGGATTTGGGATTTTTAGTCGTGACTGACCAACATCACAAGTTTTCAACAACAACAAATGCAGACCCATGTGTCTTGATGTAGTGGCCAATGAACATGTTCAGTGCAGTGAAGAGACCTTGTTCAGTGGAGATATATAAATTTCTTTGCCGAGTCTGTTAGAAAAAGAAAAAAGAAAAAAAAGACAATAACAAAAAAGAAACAAAGAAAACAAAATAGATCAATATTTATTAATGAGCTGCAGATTCAAACATCCTGGAGCAAGGTTTCCACGTAAAAGCTAAAAATACATTACTCTTTCTCAGGTAGCATTTAAGTGCCTCCCCCCCCCCCCCCCCATGCAATGCAGGTCATATGAGCTGTTGAACTTGAACCCAGCCTAGTCAGGAGACCGTTCGTCCAATGTTATTTCAATGAATCTACAAGAATACTCAGTTTGTAACCTCTTTGGAAAGCACATTGAATGAAAATAGGAATAGAATCTTTGACTGGTATAATATGCCCCTGCAGTGGACCACGGATTTGAATCTTCTGTTCTGAATATAATGAGTTACATGTACATGTACCAAACATCAATGGACATGGACCTGTGTGTTTCCTGAATGCATGAGGAAGAGAAGGATTCTTATCTTTCCTTCTTTGTTTATCAACAGGTGGGTTGTAACCAAATAGTACATGTAGATACCAGATACCAATGAAGGATCTCTGTAATACACAGTATATAAAGACCTCCATAGATACACAGCTAAACCTGTGTATAAAGGTCATTAAAGGGATAACAGTGATGCGGTGGTCACAACCCGCCGTACTTGCAAGTGCGTGCTGTCTGCGTGCAAAAACGTGGGCAAAATGTGGGTATCCGTACGTGGTGAATACTGCCTCCGTACGGATTTGGGAGCATGCAGACACACCGTAGCATTTTTAGTGCACGAGGAACTTTCGCTGCTTTCGGGCTGCAGTCGGGTTACCAATTCACCCCCAGTACGTGTTACTATGAACATGACGGACAAAGAAAGCAGACAAAATATACAGTTCCTCATTCTACCCTCAACAATTGCTGTGGTAGACAAAGGAACATCCCTTCACTGCTATTATTTGAAAAATAAGTAGCACAGGTGAATATAAATGTGACACCTGTTCTACACATTTTGACGTGCGTTGCCGGTACTCCCTCCCTGCCTTTGCCACTCCCTCCCTATGTTTTCAGAAAAACGTGGCGGCCATGGCCTCCCCGAAAACCGTACGGACTAAAAACACGCACGGTTGGGTGTGACCAACGCTTTAGGTGGTTGTGATAATGATCTGGACGGTGTGGTCCCTACCTGTGCATGTACCTGTTGGTATCAACTCTTAATGTTGCAATGATAAACACATAAAGGGAAACAGGAATGTGCGGTCTTTATAGATGGGTGGACAGTAGTCACAGAACACTATGGCAGGTGTTACTGTACTTCATTTCCTGTTTCTGAGAATTATATGGATGTCTCATGCTCTAAATTCTACATGTATAGACTTGTTCCTAGGAAATTATACACTACAATTATATAGAGGAAGTCTTCTGGAAAACTAAAACCCCGGCAAAATTCCTACAACTGTATACAAATGTCCAGCATACTTGTCTATTGTATGATTGCAGTAAATTGTATCAGAACAAGGGGACAGAAAGGTCAGAATCTGTAAAATATCCTGGTACTTGGTATAGAGCCCACATATTGTTGAAGCTTGTTATGATGGATTGAAGATCTGATCAATATTACAGTGTACAGTATACCACTGTGTATTCAAGATACAGTTTCAAATTTCTCTATAAATGTTCACTGTTGCAAATCTGCTCAAGGATATTTTTTCTGATTTACTTTTCAAATATATTTGAGAACAACAGTTTAGTAGAGCAACAACATGGATGCTCAGATTGTTGATGTCCTCATCATGGTCATGCATTATGTGTAGACCTACCATTGTACTAGCTTTTAACTGTTTTCTCAAGCCGTAATGAAAATGTTGAAGTCTGTAGCATGAACATTTGGCCTACTGGTAACATTTTTGAGTATTTTGTCCTACAATACGCTCAACCTAGTATTCACTTGATAGCCAAGCATGCCTGTGCCCGTCTTTATTATTTGTTTGTTCTTTTATGTGGTTTTATTTACCGGTATATTCTTTTTAAAACACTGTCAATGTAGTCAAAACTAGTGCTGTAGTGAAACGTTTAACCGTCCGGTATCCGACCGCCCATGGCGGATTCCGTTTTCAATTGGACGGTTTCGTTTTCCCGTTTTTTTATTTTTTTAAAATTTTTTTAATTTTCAATTTAAAAAAAAAATATTTTTAATTTTTTTTTTTTTTTAAAGTTTCGATTTATCTGTGATGTTACAGCACTAGTCAAAACTTCGTAGCATGAACAGTACAAGGGCATGGATGTGTTCAGTAAATGGTTTCTTGATGTACTGTACAGTATGCGTATGCAAAATTCATTGTTTTACTCATATCTTTTGGTTGGAAGAAAATTATATCTGTGGTTATATTACAAAAAATCACCCATGATTTAGGTCTCTATATTTACCTGTAGGTCTGGAATTTGACATTTTTTTTTGCTTGATCTACATGTACAGGAGCATTTGCGTTTGGTGCTTTTTCATGACAGACATTGTCCCAGTTAATATTGGAAAAGTTTGTTAAAGTTTGTTCCCATTTTATTGCTTTGATCATTATCTTCTTACATGCACCATTCATATTAGGGCAGGTCCAAGCTATTTGCTTTGTGACGTACGGGACATTCAGAGACTTTAAACAAGAAATAACAATGGATGACATTATTTATATGACTATCTTTTGGTATGAGTCTGTGGCTATTATGGGCTAGTTCATTTGTGGAAAGTTTTAGTTCTGACCAATTCATAAATTAATTTTTAATGTAATTAATGTGCTACGTGACGTACGGGACCAGAGAATTTCTGACTTTTTCAAAAATAAGTTCATCATAAAAGTTCTCTGAATTTATTAAGTTATGAGATTTATGGTAATGATATCTTAATTCATTATGAAATCAAGCATTAATCACAACTATTACCATATTTTTCTGACCTTTCGTTATTATGTAATATACCAAAACATAAATGTGTGCATGTGACATACGGGACATGTGACGTACGGGACAACTTTTCCCTATGGGAAAATGCATTGAAATGGAGAATTTGCGTCAAAATTTGTTAAATGTGAACAATTTTAACTTGAATCAGTGACAATTAGAGTGTTTTAGAACCCAATTAGATCCTCTAACCATCACTTAATATCATCTGTGTTAATTTATGAGGTAAATCAATACAAATATTACTTTAACACAGAAAACAAATTGAATTAATATTTATACACACCATTTACCCATCTATCATGTGCAGTCATGCTTCTTTTCTCATTTCTTTTTTCCATTCCATTCAACATTGCAAAATGTTTTTAAACAATAATTAATGAAGAAGATGAACTTGAACTTGAAAACTTTTATTTAAACTTGTTTGAAACACAGGGACACACTCGGCACATCATATTTTGTCAAAGAACATTTCTTATGTTCTAAGTGTTTGTGAACAAAGATACATTAAAAATATGAAGTCTTTTCTTCATAGCTTGTTTGAATTATTTGATAGTAATATCACAGAATTTTGAAGGAATTCAAAGATAATGCTGAACATATTGTCTTTTTTTATGTCCTTTTATCACAGATTAGAACATGTATATGTTGCTGTCATATATTCAAGAATTTTGATGTACATTAATGTAGCCTACATGTTTGTGAAAGATGGATACAAAAATATAAATCTTGAATGTATTTCGTATTGATTAAAACATCTTATTAACACCACCAGATATAAGAAATTAAAACCCTAAATGTTTGTGTGACCTTTTCCACAATTCAAAAGATTAATTGAAAGCAAACTCAACAAAAATGCATGGGTGTAAAAGTGGTAACAATCTTAAGTGGGTGAGAGTGTGAAATACTCAAAAAGGCTATCCTTCCTTAAAAGTTATGATTTAGTTTTTAGGAGATCAGAATTCCCGAGCTGGCTCCATAACATGTACAGTGCATGCTGTAATCCTTTACCATCATATATGACATTTAAATATAATATAAAACAACCTCACATGGAGAGCTTGATAGCATACATGTGCTAATCTTACCTGCAGCATCTATCCACTACCATATAATTTCATTAGACTCATTCCAGGAACTAGTACACTATTATGATTTACATATTTAGCATCCTGCCAATGTTAGAGACATCAACTGGCAAAATACCAAAGTTGATAATACCAGGGGTCTGGCTTGAAGACTAATTACATTAACAAGAATTACATAAAACAACAACAAAAGTACAAACAAGTAAATTCCTAGAAGGGACCCAGTTGGAATGTTCATATATCCCTGTATACAACAAGTTTCCTAACACAGTATATATTCTCCTTTTGGTAATTTCCTTTTTCACATCACCCATTGGTTTTGTATGTGGTTGCCCCGTACGTCACACACTTGTCCCGTACGTCACATTTCTTAATTTGATTATGTAATCAACACAGAATTTTTGAAATTTTTGTTAAATCTATTTTTTGTTAGGTATTCATTTAAATTAGAACTTCCTAGAATATCTTTAAAAAAAAAAAAAATTTTCATAATTAAAATTAAACAAATTATGATCAAATTGTGACGTACGGGACATCACACTTTGGGACCTACCTCATTTCCATAATTAATTAATTTTGAAAGTTTTTATATTTTTTTCCTATTTTCTA